ACTATCTAGTGACAAAATCAGAAGGGCTCTGGTGGTAAGGAAGTGAGTGGGTCACAGTAAAAGTAGATATTGGCCAGATTGGAAAGGTCCTTGAATGCTGTGTTAAAGAACTACAGAATTTGATTTCATACTGAAGGCAGTGAAGAGCTTTGAGGAGTGGCAGGATGATGTATTTTAAAGGACCCACTAGCACTGATATGGAGAAAGTCTGGAAACCCTTGAACCGCAGGCCAGGGAAATTATGTGAATATTTTTATAGTTGGAGTGTTATGTAACATAGTGATGATGAGACTGGAGGTTATGGATGGTCAAGAAAGGGGCATTGTAGAAGTCAAACATATAAAAGTGTAGGGATTGGATGGCCTTGACTGTTGTGGTAGGGAGAATTCTCAAAGGGCTCTAAAGGTTTCTATTTACATTGATGTACTTGTTGTGTATGATTCCATCCCTTTAGTATGAATGGGGCTTGTGAATGTGATGGACTATCACTTCCATGATTATTTTAAATTATATGGCAAAAGGGGTTGGTAATTATATAGGTTCCTATTTAATTGATTCTGAGATAATCTAAAGGAAGACTGCATTGAGTGAGTCTTACCTAATCATATGAGCCCTTCAGAAGGACAAGAAGCAAGAGAGAGATTCCCCTGACGGATTTGAAAAAATGTGAGGTTGTGTTGTGAGAGGACCATGAGGATGAGGCTGAGAGATGCAACCAGGAGCAAAGAAAACCCCTCAGATGACAGACAGCAAGAAACTGGAGACCTCTAACATTTACCACAAGGGACAAAATTCTCCCAACCACCTGAATAACTTTGGAAGAGGACTCTGAAATCCACAGGAGGAGAGTCCTGGTAGAAAGCTCAATATCAACCCAGCAAAGTCCTGAACAGAGGATATAGGTTTGCAGAGACACATTACTTATAGGACTGTGAGATAAGAAATGTGCCTTCTTGATAGTAGCCATTCTTTCTGGGGTGAGGTGGAATCTCAGCATTGTTTTCATTTTCATCTCTTGAATGACCAGTGATGTTGAACATTTTTTCATGTGTTTATTTGCTTTTTCTACTTCTTTGTCTGAGAAATGTCTGTTCATTTCAGATGCCCATTTTTGGATTGGGTCTTTAAATTTGGGGAGTCTGATTTTTTTCAGTTCTTTATATATTCTAGATAGTAGTCCTTTGGCTGAGGAATAGCAGGTGAAAAATTTTTTCCCACATTGTGTGTTGGTGGTTTCTCTTGCTGTGCAGAAGCTTTTTCCTTAAGAGTACTGGGGATTCAACCCAGTGTCTACCACTGAGCTACATTCCATCCCTTTTTTGTTTTGTTTTTTTGGTACTGGGGATCGAACTCAGGTCCTTCTGCTTCCCAGGCAGGTGGCAGAACCACTGAGCTAAATCCCCAGTCCCCAGAAGCTTTTTAATAAGAAGAGATCCCACTTGTTGATTCTCTGTGCTTGTTCATGTGCAACTGAGGTTTTGTTCATGAAATCTTTTCCTACAACAATGTCTTCAAGAGTTCTACCTAACCTCTCTTCCAGCCAGTTTAGTGTTTCTGTTTTAATATTTAGATATTTAATCCATTTCAATCTTAGTTTAGTGCATAGTGAGAGATATAGGTCTAGTTTTAATCTTTGGCCAGTTGAAACCCAATTTTTCCAGCACCATTTATTAAAGAGGCTATCTTTCCTCCAGTGAGGCCGTTTGGCTCCTTTGTCAAAGATGAGGTGGCTGAGTGTGTCTGGAGTTGTTTCTGCATCTTCTAATCTGTTCCACTGGTCCTCAGGACTGTTTCTTCGCCAGTACCATGCTATTTTTTATCACAGTAGCTTTGTAGTATAGTTTCAAGTTGGGTATTGTGATACCCCCAGCCATGTCTCAGTTGCCTAGAATTGCTTTTGCTATTCTAGGTCTCTTCTTGTTCCAAATGAATTTTTGGATTGTTTTCTCCAGATCTGTGAAGTATGCTGTTGGAATTTCAGTTGGAATTGCATTTCATCTATATAGTAGTTTTGGAAGTATGGCCATTTTCACTATGTTAGTTTTTTCTACCCAGGAGCAAAGGATGTCTTTCCATTTTCTGATATCCTCTTTGATCTCTTTTTTCAGAGTGCTATAGTTTTCAGAGTAGAGGTCTTTGGTTTCTTTCGTTAGGTTGATTCCTAGGTATTTCATTTTTGGGAATGCAATTGTGAAGGGAGTTGTTTCTCCAGTTCCTTTTTCAGTGAGTCTGTTGTTTGTGTACAGGAAAGCTACTGATTTTTGTGTGTTGACCTTGCATGCAGCTGGTGGGGCTGTGGGGAAAAAGGAACACTTCTCCACTGTTGGTGCGAGTGTAGATCGATGCAACCACTGTGGAAATCAGTACAGAGATACCTCAAAAAATTAGTATTAGGGGTCCCATTTGACCCAGCTATTTCCCTGCTGGCTATCTTCCCAAAAGAATTAAAAGAATCATACCACAGCAATATATGTGCACCCATGTTCATAGTGGCATAGTTTGTAATAGCTAAAACTTGGAAGCAGCCCAAATGCCCATCAACTGGAGACTGGATAAAGAAAATGCTTTTTTTTTTTTTTAAATAATAAAAATGGAGTACTACTCAGCCATAAAGAATGACAAACTAGAGGCATTTATAGCTAACTGCATGCATATTGAGGCCATACTCTTAAGTGAAATAAATAGGAGACATATGTGTAAATACTGAATAGTTTCTCTGGTGTGAGAAACTGCAAGTGTAAATAAAGATCAAAATGTATAATAGATAATGTGAAATAGGAAGAAAATGTTCAAAGGGGAAGGGAAAGCAGGAGGGATAGGGAAAAGGAAAGAAGGGAAAGGAATAAATATGAGAAAAGGAAAAAATGGAAACAAAGTATTTGTAAATATGGAGGAGTGGAGGGGTTCGAGGGAGGGCAGGAGAATGGGGAAAAAGAAGAACCAAGATATATTACGTAAAGGTACAAATTCCCAATGATGAATGTCATTATATTGTATACCTAAAATGTACTAATAAAATTAATGAAAATAAAATATGCCTTCTTTCAAGGTACTAAAATTTAGTAATTTTGTGTGCAGCCCTGGGTAACTCATACAACAGAGTACGTTTCAGTCAAAAATAGAAGTCAAATTTCTACTTTATATAATGAACCATTAAAGAGGGAAATGAAGGTAGTCGGCTCATGTTATGAGTCACTGGTGAAAGAAAGGAAATACATGCAACAGGGATGCACAGCTAAGAAGCAGTTATTTCTGAAAGTTGTGTTTAGGATGAAGAGGAAGTCGGAAGGTTTATGTAGATTGTTGTAAATGTACGGATTCCTTATCCTTTAGAGTATGGCAACACATTTCCACACGACTCCTGTTACCTCTTAGAATTACCTTTTAGAAGTGCTACCATTTATTGCTTTGTATCTGACACTTTGTCATTTCTAAACTGGCTGAAATGCCATTGCTTTTTTCCCCCTATAATCATTGAGGGCAGGTATAGCATCTGATTTCATTCTGTATTCCTGTAGTCCAGAATATGTTCTACACTCATTGATGTTTGATGTTAAACTAAAGTGGCATCCAAAATTGAGTAGCTACATAGTAGGGCTGTGTGGGCAAATAAGGGTGTTCTTTCTGAATCAGGTAAGATGAAGAACTGATGAGAAAAATATAGCTTAAGAGACCAAATGAATGCAAGAAATTAACCACTGGACATTGCCTACTCAGACTCAGAAAACATTCTCACATTTTCTCTTATCTGTTAGAAAAAAGGACATGTAAATGAGTAGGTTGGGTGAATAGACATAGGTAAAGAAAGACTGAGAGATGTCTATGAAATGTTTTACATTTTAAAAATTAAATTCAAAATTTAAATTTAAAAAATTAAACAATTTTTCTCTATAAGTGATAATAGGTATTCCATGGTGAGACACTCTACTGAGCTTTTCACATACATTATCTATTTTAATCCCTAACAGAATCTTATCGGGTTTGCATATCTTTGTTACTTTACAGGCAAGGAAACAAAGGCACATATATTTAAATAATTTGTTGAATGGTAACCCAGAAGGTAAATGCTAGGTTATAGATTTTCCTAATTTACTGACTAAATTCAGCTTCTGTGACTAGGTCATTAAGAGAATTGGTCACTGTATGAGGAGTTGTATACAGTACGTACATTACAATAGTCAGAAAAAGGAAATGGTCAAAGGAAACTCCAACTTGATTATTTTGCTATTATTTGCATAACTCTCATGTGCAGTACTGTAATGTATAACAGAACACAAAACTATAGCACTGTACTGTACAGTACAATCAGGAAAAATTATAGTACTGTATAAACAAAGGGTACAATACCAAAAAAGACAATGAGGCTCTAAGGACAAGAACTGTACAAGAACAAAAAAGGTGGGTCATAAATATGAGCAGTAGGTTGTAAGTCCAAATAGCCTGCCTTGGTCCTAAGTCTGAAAGTTGTTAAGTAAGTAGGTGGTTAAATAAGGAATGTCTGTAGTCCAACTGACAAAAAATTTAGATTTAAACACATGTAAGGAAATTGACATTGTGTGAAGGTTATACATTTATAACACAAAACTTTCTATAAACTTACATCTGATACTCCCTGTCCTCAACAATTTTGTTTATGACTGTGTTAATTGTTCATACTTGATACATAGTATGAAAATTACTTAGGAAATAAAATTGCACACTTCTTGGTTAGACCTGTGAAATAAATGAGATGGAATATTGCTTCCATTGTTTGTACAAAAATTCTGCATCCTTATGTAATTGTCCATTTAGAGATTTTTTGCTCCTTTTCTTGGGTATGGTTGTAAGTTGTTTCCTTGTTTTTTAAACCAGTTTCCAGGAACTATTTATATAATATAGATATTGGCAGTTAGAAGTGTTTACATAGTGAAATAACTAATTTCACTTTGAATGATTAGTAAACAAATGCAATTTATTTTTGCAGAACACTCAGCTTTAAGATTTTGCAGTTTGCCTTCAATATGACAACTTTTCAAAACATCACATCTCCTGTCATCTTCCTGCTAACTGGTGTTCCTGGGCTGGAAGCCTTCCACACCTGGATCTCCATTCCTTTCTGCCTTCTCTATGCAACTGCTGTCTCAGGGAACAGCCTGATTCTCTTCGTCATTATCACTCAGCCCAGTCTCCATGAACCCATGTATTATTTCCTCTCCATGCTGTCCACCACTGACCTCGGGCTGTCCATATCCACACTGGCCACCATGTTGGGTATATTCTGGTTCAATGTCAGGGAGATCAGCTTCAATGCCTGCCTGTCCCAGATGTTCTTCATTCAACTGTTCACTGTCATGGAATCCTCTGTGTTGTTGGCTATGGCTTTTGATCGTTTTGTGGCCATCTCTAATCCCCTTAGGTATTTTTCTGTTTTAACTGACATTAAAATAGCACAGATTGGAATAGCAATCATCACCAGGGGGATACTGATACTGACTCCCATGGTAGTGCTTCTTAAAAGATTGTCCTTCTGCGGCAGCCATGTTCTCCACCACTCTTACTGCTTCCATCCTGATGTGATGAAGCTGTCTTGCAGTCACCAAGATCAACAGTGCAGTTGGCCTGACTGCTCTCATCAGCACTGCTGGGATGGACTCCATCTTCATTGTCCTTTCCTATGTTTTGATCATTAGGACTGTCCTCAGCATCGCCTCCCCAGAGGAGAGGAAGAAGGCCTTCAGCACATGTATCTCCCATATTGGGGCTGTGGCTGTATTCTACATTCCACTGATTAGTCTGTCCTTTGTTCACAGATTTGGGAAACGAGCCCCACCCTATGTGCATACTCTGATTGCCAATGCCTACCTGCTGTTGCCTCCTGTAATGAACCCCATCATCTACAGTGTGAAGACCAAGCAGATACACATGGCTGTGTTGAAAGTTATCCATTCCAGCAAGACAAAAATGTAGACATTTCTTTTTCCTGGATTTTCTAGTGTTTGTTCTTGTATGCATGTTGACAATGCCATTCACAGAGGTTACAGTGTGTAGTGTGATGCTTGTGATAAAAATTTCCCAAGGATAACTGTAGTTTCAATAAGGAAACTGAATTAAAAGAGATGATATAAATGAAAGACTTTCAAAGATATCAGTATTTTCCTCAAATAGTCACAATAGTAATAAAATGAAATCTTTATTATGAAGGACAATCTTTAGAATTAATGATTTTCAGTGACCTAGATAATAAATGACCCAGTCTAGTTTTTAAATGTAGTTTTAAAAGCTTTGTGCTTTTAAAAAATGGAAAAAAAAGTCTACTTACTGATCTATATTTGTTCTTTACTGAAACAGAATCACTCCTGTTCACATATGAGAAGTAAAAGTGGATTACAATTTCAAATTACCAAAACTCATCATCTAAATTTACCATAGAGGACACACAGTTCCCACATTATTTAACTGTTGCAAGTATTTTAATTTTCCCTTTTTGCCTCTGGCTTCACCGGGCATCTTTATTTAGCAACTGGTATCATTATCATTGCCTTCCCAATAATCTAACCTTCTTTGTCAAATACTCTCCTTTTCTCCTGTCTCTTCAGGAAAGTTTTTGAAAAATAATACATTAAAATTCAACTCTAATCTGTAGTTTCATTAGTAGTACAAATTCATCCTTAGATCCTACATCTGTTCTTGTTTTGAGGAAATATCATCTCCTATTAAATTAATTTTGTTCAAAATTAACAGAAAATAAATATAGAGATATTTTATAATGCTCTGTTCAGAAATTCTCCCCAAGCAAATTTGAATATGCCCACCAGGCTTTAGGTTATAAGATGGGAATCAAACCAGTGATGAACACAGAGAGCTTTATATACAAGCAAGTCCATAGACAGGCACTGAAGGCCTGAAAGGGCAAAAAGGAAACAGAAATAATACCAAAGTGATAACTACAGGGTTTGTTTCCCCTTCTCAGCTTTGAGAACAAAGAGAAAAATTTAGCATTATTACAACATATAAACTTCACAGTGGGTCTTCCCAAATCAAAGTCTTATAATGAGAGGGTAATGTCTTGTTCATTCTGGTACATTATTAGGTCTGAGGATGGATCGTTTAGAGTCAAGGCCCAAACTCAGAAGAGGGGACATTTACAGATGAAACTCACTCCTCAGAATCATGGAGGATTCATACTGAGTTGGAACTCAGATGCCTGATACGAGTCTATTGACAGGAGCTTTTCATCTTTCCTCTCCTCAAACGTAAGAAATGCTCTCTTGGTGCACAGTCACAGACAGTTATTGTACACAAGTCTAAGTGATTGCTTGCTCACTGAGAGGTTGGTTTAAAGGTTACCAAGTTAAATAACACTCAAATAATTTCTTACTTACAGTAGTATACAGACTGTCTATAGCATAAGATCTAATTCTAACTCTTGTCTATTTCAAACCCTGAAATTTTCTAGGTATTTAAAATTTCTTGAGTAAATGTATACATTAATAAATGAAGGGAAATCCATAAAACAGCTAAGCATTATTTTATAGAGAAAAATACATAGTCAGAAAAAGTAGGAAAGGAAGCAACACAGATTAATTTCTTCAGTCCTGTAGATTTTTAAAGTGGAGTGAGTATACACTCATCTTCATACAGACAGGAGAGTCTCTCTAGTCCCGGTCATTCTATTATCAATACTCTTTGTCAAATTGAAAATCAAGAATCTTGCTCTGATAATTCTTCTAGAATTATCATCTATGAGCTTCCAGTGACTGACTTTCTTTTTGGTGAGATTACTTTAAGTCATATTTCTGTAGGCAGAATTTTACTTCAATACATTCAGCTTCTTTTTAATTTTTTATTTTTTTCTAAGTTATTTTATTGGTACATTTTAGGTATACAATTCGTTTGCATTTATCATTGGGTGTTTGTACCTGCACATGATATATCTTGGGTCTTATTTTTTCCCCATTACCTGTGCGCCTTTCACCCCTTCCTCCCTTCCCTATTTACACACACATCATTTACATTTTTTTTTTAAATTTTCTCATAGTTTTTGCTTTCCCTCCTTCCCTTTCCTCTTCCCCTCCCTTCACCCCTTTGTTTTTGGACTTTTTTTCCCATTTCAAATTATCAATTATTCCTTTTAATCATTTTAACCCTTATTTACACTATCATTTTCTCATGCTAGTGAAACTTTTGGTATTTACACGTGTGTCCTATTTATTGCACTTAAGAGGATGGTCTCGATATGCATCCATTTAGCTATAAATGACTCTAGTTTCTTGTTCTTTATGGCTGAGTAGTACTCCATTTTATAAAAAAACCACATCCTCTTTATCCAGTTTCTGATTGATGGGCACTTGGGCTGCTTCCAAGCTTTAGCTATTACAAACTGTGCCACTATGAGCATGGGTGCACATATATGGCTGTGGTATGTACAATCAGCTTCTTAACTACTACCTGCATAAAGAAATCTTTCTTTTTATCACACCGAATGCCTATTTATGTAGATTATTTGGTTCTTTTCTAATATTTAGTTGTTTTAAAATCAACACATGTTCTATATTTATTCAATTACAAGTATTTTAGTAGAAAATAATATTATCTTATTCTGTTATTTTCATTGAGTACACAAGGACTCATAAATCTTAATGACCCTCTGGATTTTTGTCTTGGAATAAGAGAAGAGAGGAAAAGAAGGGCAAATGGTTTTTTGTGTTGAATTACGATTGCCCAGAAATATCCTATCTGCCCATGTCCACAGTCATAGAACTGGAAAATATATTCCATTATCTAGTTATCCTTTTGTACATGTGCATATAATCTACTAAGGCATAGATGTAAAATATTGAGAATCATTTTAAAGTCCAGTTTTCTTCACCCAGCTTAGTGTTTTGTGTCTTCTTCTTGTTCACCCAAGATCAATGCCAAACCCAAGAAAACAGCAAGTAGATATACAGTTCCATTGAAGAACAGGATGTGGCTCACTACATCCTGTATAGTATGTAGAAGAGAATGAAACATTTTTTGTCCATATTATTACAGGATGTAATAATTTTCTACCAGGAAATATGCTTTTTTTCAGTCACCATGCTATCCTTTAGCCAGAGCAGTTTCTATTCTGCAGTCTTCTTCCTTGCTGGCATCCTGGGTCTTGAAACCTCTCAAAACTAGACTCCACCCCTTTTGTTGCTTCTGTGCAATATCTATCTCTGGGAATGTCATGGGCCTGCTTATCATCATCATTGAGTTGAGACTCTGAACCCATGTACTACCTCCTCTTCACATTTCCCTTTAAGGACATGGGCTGGTGCCTATCAACACTTGTGACTATGTAGGGTATTATTTGCTAATGCTCAAGAAACCAGCTTTGATACTTTCTTGGTCAGGTGTTCTTTATACATGGCTTCATATTCATGCAGTCTTCAGTCTTCTTGGCAATGACCTTTGAGTGCTTCACTGCTATCTGAAATCAGCTGAGATATACCATGATCTTAACCAATTTTGAAATATCAAAGTGGATTTAGCAATCATTATTGGGGAGACACCAGCTCCAGCACTTTTAATCCTGTTCTAAACAGCCTGTCCTTCTTCTGCAGTTATGTGCTCCACCATTCCTATTTCTTTCACCCTGATGTGATGAGCTATCAGGCATAGAGTGCCAATAAATCTTAATTGTCAACTGGACTGGATTAAGGGACTCTTAGAAAGATGACTGGATTATGGACGTTTTACATTAATCAGTGGATTGATTCACTTTGTTCACAGTACAATGTATTTTTAGGATTGGGACATGATAGTGGATATTGGTCACTAGTGATATGCCTTGTGAGAATCCACCTCTTTCTGGCCCTGTTCCCTTATGCTCCAATTCTCAGAGGTCAGGAAGTGAACAACTTTGCTCCACTGCATCCTTCTGCCATGATGCTTCTGCCTTGGAGCTGGTGGAACAAGGACAGATGCTTCTTACATTGTGAGGTAAAATCAACCTCTTCTCTCTTAAGTTGTAGGTGTCATGGATTTTGATCTAGCAATGGGAAAGCTGACCAATATAAAAAATTGGTTTTGCAGAAGTAGGGTCATGGCTGTGACTATTCTGACCATATGATTTAGCCATATTTGGAACAGGTTTGCAGGAAAAGTTTGAAAACATTTGGAGATGCTGGGTAGAGAAGCCCTAGAATGTTGTAAGCAGTGCTTGAAGTATGATTTTGGTCAGAGCTCAGCAGACCAAAATGCTGATTGGAATATGAACAGCCATGCTTATGCAGTTGCAGGTAAGAGTGAGGACTCTATTGTAACTGGACTAGAATCCATGAATGTTACATTCTGGCAAAGAACTTATGTACATCTTGGCCATGTTCTGAGACCTTGCATAAAGTTGTATTTAAGGGCTATGGACTAATTAATCAGGTGAAAGTGATTTCAAGTTGCTTTTAGCCAGATATATAGTGAGAATTAGGAACATAAAGCAGAGCAGAAAGATTTGAAAAACTTAATTTTTGGTCCAAAAAGAACCCCATGTAAAATTGGAGATAAAGGAGGCATGGTTGCCAAAGATATTATTATTAGTGCCCTTAAAAAGAAACCAAGTACCTTGAACAAGAATAAAAAGATATATGCCTTGAGGGCTTCTCAGGAATCAGGAAGACGCCATCCACTGCAGCTTCAAGGGTGCAAAAGTATAAACCTTTCATGTGAGAAGGGAATCCTTGGGCCCACTGTTCTACAAGAGCCTTCTAGTATATTGGTATTCTAGATTCATTCACCATGCCAAGCCTTTCAGGACCTTAGAGGATGTTGTTGCCATCACCCAAGGGGACCTAGCTACTTCTCAATAAAGTGATAGACTTTGGCACTGTCCACATCATGTTGTGTTGTGGAGGTTTCCACCCAGATTTCAAGGGAAGACCTTGCAGGCCAGGTAATGTGCCTCTGAGAGGTGAATGCATGAAGCTGGGGGCATGAAGCCAAGGGTA